GTGTAGGCAGACCTTCACACCGAGGCCTGTCCTGGTAAAAAACACCATGTTAGCAGTTTTAGTGGAGGAACTGAAGAAGACTGGACTCCAAGCTGCTCCTGCTGATCTCTGCTATGCTGGACCTGAAGATGTGGCCTGTGATGTCTGCACTGGGAGAAAACTGAAAGCCCTCAAGTCCTGTCTGGTCTGTCTGGTTTCTTACTGTGAGAAACACCTCCAGCCTCATTATGAATCACCTTCCTTTAAGAAACACAAGCTGGTGGACCCCTCCAAGAAGCTCCAGGAGAACATCTGCTCTCGTCATGATGAGGTGATGAAGATCTTCTGCCGTACTGATCAGCAGTGTATCTGTTATCTCTGCTTGATGGATGAACATAAAGGCCACGACACAGTCTCAGCTGCAGCAGAAAGGACTGAGAGGCAGAGAGAGCTCGAGGTGAGTCGACAAAACATCCAGCAGAGAATCCAGGACAGAGAGAAAGATGTGAAGGAGCTTCAACGGGAGGTGGAGGCTATCAATCGCTCTGCTGATAAAGCAGTGGAGGACAGTGAGAAGATCTTCACTCAGCTGATCCGTCTCATGGAGAAAAGAAGCTCTGATGTGAAGCAGCAGGTCAGATCCCAGCAGGAAACTGAAGTGAGTCGAGTCAAAGAGCTTCAGGAGAAGCTGGAGCAGGAGATCACTGAGCTGAAGAGGAAAGACGCTGAGATGAAGAAGCTGTCACACACAGAGGACCACACCCAGTTTCTACACAACTACCCCTCACTGTCAGCACTCAGTGAATCTACATCCAGCATCAATATCCGTCCTCTGAGGTACTTTGAGGATGTGACAGCGGCTGTGTCAGAGCTCAGAGATAAACTACAGGACGTTCTGAGGGACAAATGGACAAACGTCTCACTGACAGTGACTGAAGTGGATGTTTTACTGTCACAACCAGAGCCCAAGACCAGAGCTGGATTCTTACAATATTCACGTGAACTCACACTGGATCCAAACACAGCACACACACTGCTGTTATTATCTGAGGGGAACAGAAAAGTAACAAGAATGAGTCAACATCAGTCTTATTCTAGTCACCCAGACAGATTCACTGGATGGGAGCAGGTCCTGAGTAGAGAGAGTCTGACTAGACGTTGTTACTGGGAGGTGGAGTGGAGAGGGGGAGGAGTTCGTGTAGCAGTCGCATACAAGAATATCAGCAGAGCAGGGAGCTCATATGAATGTGGATTTGGACACAATGACAAATCTTGGTCATTATATTGTGACAATAACAGTTATAACTTTTGGTACAACAATGTCTCAACTCCTGTCTCAGGTCCTCAGTCCTCCAGAGTTGGAGTGTATCTGGATCACAGTGCAGGTATTCTGTCCTTCTACAGCGTCTCTGAAACCATGACTCTCCTCCACAGAGTCCAGACCACATTCACTCAGCCTCTCTATGCTGGACTTTATCTTTATTACAGTGTTGGAGACACTGCTGAGTTCTATAAACTGAAATAGACAGAAGTCATTTCAGGGACTTTGTGTTAAACTCTGAGTTTGAATCCTTAAACTGATTTTGTCTTCATGTTTGTTGCTGAGAGCTGATTGTTGTGGCGTTTCTTCACTGCACAGAGATCAGCTGTCAATCAAACATTGTGGGCGGTACTTTGACATCTTCTCATTAGTTGTCCTGTAAATGTTTGAGTGTGTTTAGGTGGCGCTCCTTCCTGTGTCTGTTCAGCCATACATTTTTTGGTGTAGTAATATTTATTAGGTTAACTGTCACAATTGTTATTTTCTAATTGTAAGTATCAGTGAGAACTGGAATTATTCAAGTAAAACTATATATGTCTTTCATGTAATAAATAAACTGTGTGGGAAGAGTAAGTTTTATTGTGTATTTTCACATAATATTCAAAGGTTTCATAGTCATTGCCCATGAACTTAGAAATACCAAGTAAGTTTTAATAGTGTTTGTAATAGTGTTTTGAATCCGGGACTGACTGTATAATTAATAGTTCGCTAGATGCTGTGGATAAATGGCGGGTTTGCCAAAATGATGAGTTTCCTTCGCATAATGAACTCAAGGCAACGACAGAGTACACAACCGCTACACATAGGAGGGGAAGGGAGGAGAGAAAACGTTTCAAATATCCGCAGCGTCGGTTTGGAGAGCCTCTACCAGACCTCACCAAAACCCTGCTGCTAATCATTATTTAAGCTAAAGAGGAAGCTATGGTTTTTGTTCATTTGCAGTGTACTCGTAGTTTGCCACAAATCTAAAATCTTACTGAGACAGAGCAAACAGAGGTCAGGAGAGATGTTCATTCCCACAAAATGTCACTCAGTTTATCAGGATAAATATGATTTCATTTATTGGCATTTCAGATTTGTTTCTTACTGTGGCTGTATATTTTTATTCCATATATGAAAATACTTTATGTGTCTTATTTCAACTAAAAGAACCACCACTTGTAGAAATGATGCACTTTCCATCTTTTTGAGTTGTTATAGAGCTACTGATGAGCCTTAAGTATCTGAAATTCAGATTCATTTGTGGAAATTGGAAAAAATTCAAATGATCTATCCAAAAACATTTCCTGTGATCATTTTCTTCCACATGCTTCATAAGGACCATCACCTTGTTTGGATCCCTTTCTTTCTAATCCCCTCGTCTATATTTTGCTCATAATTTGATATGAAGCCTCATTGTTCTCTATTCTGATTCCGTTTACACTGTTTCAATTTGGATTCTGCATTATTCTTGATGCATATGACACAGCTCTCTCTCAACAACGTGAATCTAGACCAGCAATGCTCTTGGAGGAGAGGAACAGAATCACAGCGGCAAAAATGCAGGATTTTCTTCATTTAAGATTTAACACATGTGGAAATGGGTGTAATGTTTTAGATCAGAGCCATATTTTCAAATATTATCCAAAATACATTGGTTTGACAGTGGTACAGTTCATTTTGGTTACATGATCCTCTAGTTTTAATGTAGTATTTCTTGTAGTATTCTGTAGTTTTAATGTATTATTTTGTCTTTGTGTTTTTGTCCTTAAGCCCAAAGCAACAACTTTGTACAGTTGACACAGTGCCATCTCAAACAGCAACTACAGCAAGCTGTGTCACAAGAAAAGCCATCTGGCTATTCAGGTAAAAACAAAATTGTGTAGTGCTTTGCAATTCATAAGTTGTAAGAGGTTTACCATCATCACAGAATATACATACTATTCCAAATGAAAATGAAGCAGAATATGTACTATGCACCTGAACATGGATTCACATATATTTTACAGGATATCAGCAGAGAGGAAGTTCAAGAGGACCAGGCTGAGCAAGTCCTGAGGATCTGTGTCTTCCACACAAGTGAAGAAGATGAAGGTGCATCCGACACTGATGTGTCCATTGTTATTGAAGGGACTGAGGTACTTGACAACTATGGAAGTGTTACAAAGGCCTGTCTCCTGCTCATGAGCATCATTTATGCCATGAATTTGAGTTACCCCCCAAAAACAAAGTACACTTTGGAAGTTTTTCAAAAGCTTCTTCTAGAGCTTGATGTCCTTAAGCTGTCCCCGAAAATCCTGTCTCTGCGAAACAAACTTGAGTCTGAGTGCACATGTATACGGCACAGTTGTTAATGTGGCTATTTGTCTATTTTCTTATTTTTTCTCTCGTTTTAATGATGTCATTTTTATTTGAACTTGTTGCACTGTATTAAATACTGTATGTGGCCATGTGGAGTGGCTACGTTTTGGGGACAAAAGAAAAGAAGTTAGATCAGCATTTTCAAGTTAAACCAGAGGTTCTCAACTGGTGGCTCGTGGGGCCATTTTTAATGGGTCACGGATGTGAGTGTGGGCATGAAAAGAGCGAGGGGCCAAATATCGCACTTTTTAGTGTCAAGATGCTCTGCTTTTTGTAGGATATTACTCATGATACAGAAACAGACGTTTAGAACCTCAGAGCAAAACACTGTTCTTTAAGATAAAAAGGAATAGTAAGCATGTCTTTTAAGATGCACCAGCATGTCAAATGTTTTCCAGAGTTTAAGGTTAAAAAGCCTCTCCAAACGATAGGCTACGTATGCTCTATGCAAACAGTTCCTGAACTTGTCCTTGTGCCTTTAACAAGCTACCTCAAACCCATTTTAGCCACCCTAAGATGAAATTTCTGTCATCGTCTACTCACCCCGATGCCGATAGAAGGACTCATCATGCTCTTCTGGGAGTTTGCCGAGATGTTTGTTTCTCACAAAACTGCATTGAACGGCAACTTGGCTTCAAACATCCAAAAAATGTCTCCATATTGCTCATCTGAAGTAATCCAAGTGTCCTGCAGCTTACACATTCCTAGATGTTTTGAAAAACAGAACAAAATTGTGTTTTGGCTTTGTTTGCTCTGCTTTGCTTCCACTGTGGTGCTGCGTGAACACGGATGGGCTAGCTGGAAGTTAGTAGTGTGTAAGTTTGTGTGCGGCGTTGGAAGGAGCACGCATTGGAAGAGCAGCAGAGCAAACACAGCTGAAAACACAAGTTTGTTATGTTTTGTACAAACGTCTTGGCATGTGTGAGCTACAGGACTGAATTAAAGTGTTCTCTAATGTCAGTAAATATTAAATTTGGGGTAATGACACTGATCCTGGATCAGCATTTAAATGTACCTTTGAGTTTATTGTAAGGTATTCTTATTATACTGCAGTGGAGAACAGAGTGACACATCTCAAACCATCATGGACACAAAAATACTAATCTTGATCTCATGAATTAAGACTTTCTACTTCACTTGTTGAATATTGTAACTGTGTTATCTTGTGACCAGTTAAAGTCATCAGAAATCAGTATTCAGCAGCTTATTTTAAACTAAAATAAAGAATCTCCAGAGTATACCCCCTTGCCGCTTTGTATTGTCTCGGCTCACGCCTCCTTCTCACCTTTTCACCCCCTAACCAGTTTGTGTTGAGACTGAGCTCGTGAACACACATGCAGACACTCCAGGAGACAGGGACTTAATAGGAAACTAGTGTTTATTGAAAAGAGGGGGAGAGGGAGTGCAGACCTGGGCAAGCTTGGGCTGGTGGGTGTGAACCTGGGGCTGAGGGTTGGACTGGAAGCTGGAACCTGTCTGCACTCAGGCAATCACACACACATACAGTTAGAGAGAGGGAGAGAGACACTCGGGGAGTGGCAGCAGGTTAGATAGACTGAATCATCATAGTTTGTATCTCTCACTGTAACCATGGTTTGTGAACTTAATAACAACCACAATGAATCCCAAATGTGTGATATGACACAACAGAACTGCTTTGTGTAACCTGTAAAAACACATCTGACATCCTTTCATAAGATAACTCATGTATGACGACAACAAGTCAGAAATGAGACATTTGACAGCATAAATATTAGACTTGGGCAGGTGGTGCCTGATTCCTTTCAAATGAGCATTAAACTGCTCTGCCAGCTGGCTGTTGATGATAGCGTGCTGCAGATCGCTGTCAGCGTTATACACACTTCAACCAGCACACAGTAAAAGTACAGCATTCCTCTTAGGCATTAGAAGTAACAGGAATACATTGCTGACCAATGTGGTTCTTCCAGTGGAGCCGGTCTAGGTGGAACCAACTGTGTTTAAAGAATGCTGGAGCACGGTTCAGTGCAAAGCTGTGCAGTATAGGGCTGAGGGAGTGCTCGGCTAACATGAGAACAGATAATTTACTTTTAATAAGTATCAAATGTGTAAAATGTGTCTGTATTTAAGAAAATATAGCAACTTTTATTAAAAAAAACCTTGTTCTGTAAATAGTTCTGTGATTCTAGTGAGACAAAAACATTGGCCTGATCTAAATTCTGAGGATGTTCTTGAGTTTTCTTTTATTATTTTAACACAAGAAACAAAATACAGAACAACAGGACAAAGACAGAAAGAATGTGTACAGAACAGAAGAGTAAAGACAGACATTTGTCAGAAAATAAAAGAACAACGTGGGTGTTAGTGGCTCTGTGGTTTGCTGATACAGGACGGTTAGGGTTTGTGCGTGCGTTCAAACTCTCAGAGGACTCTGAGGAGGGTGGCTGTTTGTTGGGGATTGACAGTCAGAATATGTTGTGTTATTGGTTGAGAGAGGAAAGTGAGGTGACCCGGCGTACCTTCCCCGTGCTGCACGCTCAGGAAGGAACAGTCACAGCTCCTTGGATGAAACTCCACACACAAGAGATGAGGCAGTGCACCACCAAATAAAACTCTAAATGAAAGGTGAAATAGAAACTGAAAAGCTTACCATGAATGCAGAGCGGTGTACAACCAAGGAGCATCCTTTCTTCATGTCCTTGCCCTCTCTTTCCCCCTCTGCTCTGCCTCATACAGCCCTTGGACCTGCAGGGGAGGAAGGAAGAGAAAGTAGATTCCATCAGGAAGCTGGTTGGTTTCCTCCTCTCCATGCTCCTCCTCAGTGAATGGTGGACACAGTGCTCTCATCACATCAGACACTTGTATAATATTGTCCATTGTCAGGAGGGTCTGTGCAGTGTGGTCCACCTCAGGTTTTTGGTGGAGAAAAGTAGATGCCAGATGGCCTTGGCCAGCTCCAGTGTGTCCCTCCCTGTCCATGCAAAGGAAAAGGGGGGAAAGGACACTGAAAAAAACAACTGGTAAGATTTACTTAATATAATCTCTGTAACAATGTTTAAGTAAATATTACTGCTGAAATATCAAGTACAACTCAGTTGCCAGTATCAAGTCAAATTTACTCACCACTCAACTAAACTTTAGTAAAAATATAAAGTAAATGTTGTTTAATTATTTCTACATTACAAGTTATATTTAGTTTAACTGAGTAAAGTCAATTATATATTTTCATATACGAGACATTGCTGTCATAAAGTAAATCTTATATATCAGTGATATTTACTGTGATGAAGTCAATAAGTACATTTTATTACATTTATTCTGTTTGACATTTTAAATTCCTTCTATGTCTGCAGATATATTATTCACTACAATTATGTAAATGTTATTTTGTTTTGATGAATTTGACCAAATCAATGTAATCATTTTCTCTATGCATATACTTTTACCACAAAGCAGCAACTGAAATACAATATATAATGAAATGTTTTATTTTGTTATTAACACCAATGAATCACTAACATTAACATTAAAGTTGAAATGTACAATTCAACTGTGTAACATGCATTCAAAGTGAAGCAGCAGCCAAAAATATAACATGGCATTAATGAGAAACATATTCCCATTGATATGCTCTTGCTCTGTTGAAAACGTTTGGAAAAAAATGAAATAAAAATATCATTGTAATTACAGTATACACTGCATTTCTTTAGTTTTCTCCCCAAGATACATAAAGAACAATAAAAGGCCATATCACATGACAAGAAGAAGGTGCTTTTTAAATATTCAGTTAAAACCTTACAACAGTGCAAATTCACACTTTCAATTCTACTTTACTCTGATGATTCTGACATATGTGAGAAGCACAAGGTAACATGTATCTACTGGGTGTTGGCTGATGTTCCCTCTATGAAGGTGTACATCATCAATGTATGTAGTTGTTTTGTATAAGGCAGATGATGTTAAGAAATGGAGTTATCCTTGAGTGAGAGGATTTGTGCTGTGTGTGCATTCATATTGGGAAGAGTGCGTGTGGTAAAAAAAGGGAGACAGAGCAGAGAAAAAGCACAATTTTTACCAAACACACCTGACTCAGTTTGTCCAAGAATGGCCTCAGCTTGGTCCCCACGACTCCTCCCTTGGCCTTCATCAGACCGTTTCCCAGTGGCGGCGGGCCAATAGAGGGCGCCGCCCCCCTTGAGCCACAAAAATAAAAAATAAATAAAAATTAAAATAAATAAAAAAATTAAAAATAATAATAATAATGATAAAAATATCAGTATGTCAATAGTTGTGTGTTTGAAATATGGAATGCAGCCAGTAATATGTGTAAAATATCCTCTGCCTGTCTGAAGCCTCATCAGCTCTGGCCGATAGAGAAAGCGCCCCCAGGAGGCGGGTCGATGTAGCAGTTAAGCCAATTGCTAATTTAAGATATGAATGTATGACATTAAATTCAGCCAATCAGCGTCCTTAAATCGAATCCAAGGAGGGAGATTATTTTATCGCCCCAAGCTCGCCTCTGATAAAATAAGGACTGGGCTCTAGCGGCGCCATTTTTACTAGACGACAATGGCGAGCGCGAACTTTAGTCCTCCAAGACCAAGACCCAACCCTAACTCGGTGGAATCTCTCCTCCAAGATCCGTTTAAGAGGAGAACTTTGTCGGAGAAAGTTGGGGTGAAAGAGCTGGGCCCAGATCAACCTGAGCTCTCAATCAGACAGCAGGCTAGAGAGAAAGGGAAGCAGTATATGGCGGCGGCTTCTCCCGTAGCCGGTACACCGGGAAGGCTTGGCTAGCTGGGTGCACTCATGCTTTTTAAAAGGACGGGGACAGATCCAGCATGGACAGTTACCGGAGTGAGGGATATGAAGCACCTGTCAGAGAAGGTGATGTTTATGTTTCTCTGTAATAATGGTAAGGTATCGACCGACACAACATAGTATCCAGTAGTATCCAAACTGCGCCTGTCGATACCTGCAATCGGTTCTTTTTGTACCCAGATCAAGAGATCAATGACTGTTTCTATGGTTTCGCTTTGTATGGCGGTAAAGCTTGCAGCTTAGTCTGGGGTGGAGTTGGCTGGTCAGCATTCTGAGATTTCTTGTGACCTATCAACATATGGATAATTTAAATATTCAAATGAGCCATGTGTTGATTGCTGATCACCTCAGTTGCTAGGTTACCACCAGGCTGTCAATCAAGCTCTCAGTAACAGAACATAATGTGAGCTAATGTCGGTTGTTGGACTGAAATTCTGAAAATGCTCATACAGAAACAGAAGGTGCTGTATTTGTTTTACCCTTTATCTATCCAGATAAAAACATTAAGAACAGTTTCTGTATGATGTTTATTAGACCTATGTAATCTGAACTGGAAGGGCACGTTGTCATGAGCTGTATCTTGTATATTTATTATTAGCTATGTGGTATGTGTATGCACCTTTATGTAATCTGGTGGGAAAACATTAAAATTTAAAACCGGATCATACCAAACAAATATCTGCTTGTGTGTCCCCGTGTATGCAAAGTGTCCTCCTTTTTGATGTGAAGGAAATGGCCACCCTAACACAGAGCAACCGTCGATAACTTCAGGTAGTAGGTAATATGTAATATATATATATATAATTCTTCGTTGTACATGTTTGTACAGCTATTAAATAAATATTTGAGCACTTTCAAAATGTATTCGTGGAGTGGTGACATTTACAAAGTAAAAAAAATTTATCGAATGAAGTACTCAGTTGGTATCAGTATCGTGTTAAGGGTACTGGTATCGGTACTGGTATCGAACATTTTTAAATGATAGCCAGCCCTACTGACTATTTCACTGAGCACTGGTGTCCTGCAGTTTATGTTAAATTGTATTGCGATGGTTACAGAAACAAAAAAGTATGGCACAGCCCCACCGACAATATTTTTCACCAGCCGCCACTGGGATTCGAATTGAGTTCTGAAGGCATGTTGTAAAACTATTGAGTTTTAATAAAAGATGTTTTGTTGCAGCTCTGACTCTGGTTTTATTTAACAGGTGAAGAAAATCTAATGTTGATGAATTTTGGAGTAACAGCAAGCCTGGTCTCATTCAATATGCATATTTTGCAAAGCTGCTAATGTGAAAAGAAAAATGAACAGTAAAAACATTCTACAACAACATATTGTATTGTGAAGTATTAACAGCTATTTACTGGCAACTTTAGTTGCCAGGTAACCTCTGTAATTTGAATAGAATACAAGATAATGTTGTAAACTAGATTTTTCCAAGAAATAAACAACAACAACAACAACAAATTGCTGTAATTTATATTCAACAAAAACCTGTAAAAGTGATCCTGTAATATACTGTAATCCTTTTACAGTAATTAACAGCAATTTTACTTTACTGGCAACTTTTTCTGCCAGCTATTTACTGTAAATTCTACAGTCAATGTGTTACAGTGTATGCTCGCACTGTGCTTTCATTATAATTCAATTTATTGATCGATAGTTAATAAGTTTTTACCTCTTTCCTCCCGTCTCTCCTGTCCTCGCGACTCCTGGCTCCCTCGCTTCGCGCCACTCAGTGTTTCCAACCAATCAGTGTCTTGCCGGCCGCTCTGACGTTATCTCGTGCTGCATTCAGTGCAGTCGGACATTGGAGATTCACGCTCGTAAATGTCAAATGCCGTAACTTTTCTTTTAATTCGTTGCTGCCAACTGGGGTGGCAGCAGGGGTGGCAAGGCTTTCTTTTAGGGTGGCACTTGCCACCCTATGCCACCCCGGTAGATCCGCCCCTGCACAAGTTGTGTAAAGTTGTTAAGTCGTTCATCTAAGTCATGTTACCAGGATAATATAATAATAATAATAATAATAATAATAATAATAATAATAATAATATATAGATCAAATATTTTGGTAAAGTTAAAAAGGGCAAAGGTATTTTTGTAATGATGGCCTGTTATTGTTATGTATACTTTGTGTTTAAGAATTTAGTAAAAATGTGAACAGCTTGGGCTTAAAAGTATTAATGCTACTGTAAATGTGGTGTTGGACCTAAATAGCAGTCACTGTTGGTGAACAATGGTACAAATTAGGAGTTTGAATTTGATTTCTGTTTCATTCAGCAGTCATTTTGTACATTTGTAAAATGTCAGTCCAGTGGGTTAGTATATGAACCTTAAAGCTTGATGTCATGTAAATTGCAAAATGAAGATTGTTGTGAACAAAACACTAAGTTGGTTTAAATGAAGTGAAAAAGAAAGATTCTGTTAAATAAAAACAGAGAACAGCCTGCTGAGCGATCACAAGTAACGTCTCCTGTCTCTGCTTTTCCTGCACAAAACAGGATACTATACCTGCTTACGGGTAACTCATGCTTGAGGCCTGTAACATTTTGATAGTTGTTTTATGATTTAATAATCAGTGAGTAACTTTTGGATGTTTTTCTTCATGTTGCCATCTTGAGCTGTTTTTCCTCTTTGTACAGGAAGAGAAGTTAGACACAGTGAATCTTTTACTCCTTTCCAGTCAGTTTTTATCCATTTGAATTTGACATTTTCAGTGTGTGAGTGGAGAGGACTACAACTGCATGTTATTGTGCAATCCTGTGTTGTATAATGACAATAAAACAGAACTTTAAACCCTCGATAACCCCTCCCTCTTCTTCCTGATTCAAACACAGCGAGCTACACTCTGTTCATGTATTTCCTTGTTCCCTCCCCTTCAGATCTACAGTTTGTAGATGGGTGTAACCAACATGAGCAAGAGCTGACAGGCCCCATTCACTGCAGAGACACATGTTGTTGAGATCAGAGCTCAACCCGGCCTCATTTATAAGGAAGTGAAACTCAGACAGTCGTTGTCACTGAGAGGTGAAATGGCGCAGAAAGGAGTTCAGCTGGACCGAGAAACCTTCTCTTGTTCCATCTGTCTGGATCTACTGAAGGATCCGGTGACTACTCCCTGTGGACACAGCTACTGCATGAACTGTATTAAAAGCTACTGGGATGGAGAGGATGAGAAGAAAATCCACAGCTGCCCTCAGTGTAGGCAGACCTTCACACCGAGGCCTGTCCTGGTAAAAAGCACCATGTTAGCAGCTTTACTGGAGGAACTGAAGAAGACTGGACTCCAAGCTGCTCCTGCTGATCTCTGCTATGCTGGACCTGAAGATGTGGCCTGTGATGTCTGCACTGGGAGAAAACTGAAAGCCCTCAAGTCCTGTCTGTTCTGTCTGGCATCTTACTGTGAGACACACCTCCAGCTTCATTATGATGTGGCTCAGTTTAAGAAACACAAGCTGGTGGACCCCTCCAAGAAGCTCCAGGAGAACATCTGCTCTCGTCATGATGAGGTGATGAAGATGTTCTGCCGTACTGATCAGCAGTGTATCTGTTATCTCTGCCCTGTGGAGGAACATAAAGGCCACGACACAGTCTCAGCTGCAGCAGAAAGGACTGAGAGGCAGAGAGAGCTCGAGGTGAGTCGACAAAACATCCAGCAGAGAATCCAGGACAGAGAGAAAGATGTGAAGGAGCTTCAACGGGAGGTGGAGGCTATCAATCGCTCTGCTGATAAAGCAGTGGAGGACAGTGAGAAGATCTTCACTCAGCTGATCCGTCTCATGGAGAAAAGAAGCTCTGATGTGAAGCAGCAGGTCAGATCCCAGCAGGAAACTGAAGTGAGTCGAGTCAAAGAGCTTCAGGAGAAGCTGGAGCAGGAGATCACTGAGCTGAAGAGGAAAGACGCTGAGATGAAGAAGCTGTCACACACAGAGGACCACACCCAGTTTCTACACAACTACCCCTCACTGTCAGCACTCAGTGAATCTACATCCAGCATCAATATCCGTCCTCTGAGGTACTTTGAGGATGTGACAGCGGCTGTGTCAGAGCTCAGAGATAAACTACAGGACGTTCTGAGGGACAAATGGACAAACGTCTCACTGACAGTGACTGAAGTGGATGTTTTACTGTCACAACCAGAGCCCAAGACCAGAGCTGGATTCTTACAATATTCACGTGAACTCACACTGGATCCAAACACAGCACACACAGAGCTGTTATTATCTGAGGGGAACAGAAAAGTAACATTAATGAGTCAACAACAGTCTTATTCTAGTCACCCAGACAGATTCACTGGATATTATCAGGTCCTGAGTAGAGAGAGTCTGACTGGACGTTGTTACTGGGAGGTGGAGTGGAGAGGGGGGAGGAGTTGGTGTAGCAGTCGCATACAAGAATATCAGCAGAGCAGGGAGGTCGAATGAATGTGTATTTGGACGCAATAACAAATCTTGGTCATTATATTGTAACAATAACAGATATAACTTTTGGTACAACAATGTCTCAACTCCTGTCTCAGGTCCTCAGTCCTCCAGAGTTGGAGTGTATCTGGATCACAGTGCAGGTATTCTGTCCTTCTACAGCGTCTCTGAAACCATGACTCTCCTCCACAGAGTCCAGACCACATTCACTCAGCCTCTCTATGCTGGACTTTATCTTGATTATGAATCCACTGCTGAGTTCTATAAACTGAAATAGACAGAAGTCGTTTCAGGGACTTTGTGTTAAACTCTGAGTTTGAATCCTTAAACTGATTTTGTCTTCATGTTTGTTGCTGAGAGCTGATTGTTGTGGCGTTTCTTCACTGCACAGAGATCAGCTGTCAATCAAACATTGTGGGCGGTACTTTGACATCTTCTCATTAGTTGTCCTGTAAATGTTTGAGTGTGTTTAGGTGGCGCTCCTTCCTGTGTCTGTTCAGCCATACATTTTTTGGTGTAGTAATATTTATTAGGTTAACTGTCACAATTGTTATTTTCTAATTGTAAGTATCAGTGAGAACTGGAATTATTCAAGTAAAACTATATATGTCTTTCATGTAATAAATAAACTGTGTGGGAAGAGTAAGTTTTATTGTGTATTTTCACATAATATTCAAAGGTTTCATAGTCATTGCCCATGAACTTAGAAATACCAAGTAAGTTTTAATAGTGTTTGTAATAGTGTTTTGAATCCGGGACTGACTGTATAATTAATAGTTCGCTAGATGCTGTGGATAAATGGCGGGTTTGCCAAAATGATGAGTTTCCTTCGCATAATGAACTCAAGGCAACGACAGAGTACACAACCGCTACACATAGGAGGGGAAGGGAGGAGAGAAAACGTTTCAAATATCCGCAGCGTCGGTTTGGAGAGCCTCTACCAGACCTCACCAAAACCCTGCTGCTAATCATTATTTAAGCTAAAGAGGAAGCTATGGTTTTTGTTCATTTGCAGTGTACTCGTAGTTTGCCACAAATCTAAAATCTTACTGAGACAGAGCAAACAGAGGTCAGGAGAGATGTTCATTCCCACAAAATGTCACTCAGTTTATCAGGATAAATATGATTTCATTTATTGGCATTTCAGATTTGTTTCTTACTGTGGCTGTATATTTTTATTCCATATATGAAAATACTTTATGTGTCTTATTTCAACTAAAAGAACCACCACTTGTAGAAATGATGCACTTTCCATCTTTTTGAGTTGTTATAGAGCTACTGATGAGCCTTAAGTATCTGAAATTCAGATTCATTTGTGGAAATTGGAAAAAATTCAAATGATCTATCCAAAAACATTTCCTGTGATCATTTTCTTCCACATGCTTCATAAGGACCATCACCTTGTTTGGATCCCTTTCTTTCTAATCCCCTCGTCTATATTTTGCTCATAATTTGATATGAAGCCTCATTGTTCTCTATTCTGATTCCGTTTACACTGTTTCAATTTGGATTCTGCATTATTCTTGATGCATATGACACAGCTCTCTCTCAACAACGTGAATCTAGACCAGCAATGCTCTTGGAGGAGAGGAACAGAATCACAGCGGCAAAAATGCAGGATTTTCTTCATTTAAGATTTAACACATGTGGAAATGGGTGTAATGTTTTAGATCAGAGCCATATTTTCAAATATTATCCAAAATACATTGGTTTGACAGTGGTACAGTTCATTTTGGTTACATGATCCTCTAGTTTTAATGTAGTATTTCTTGTAGTATTCTGTAGTTTTAATGTATTATTTTGTCTTTGTGTTTTTGTCCTTAAGCCCAAAGCAACAACTTTGTACAGTTGACACAGTGCCATCTCAAACAGCAACTACAGCAAGCTGTGTCACAAGAAAAGCCATCTGGCTATTCAGGTAAAAACAAAATTGTGTAGTGCTTTGCAATTCATAAGTTGTAAGAGGTTTACCATCATCACAGAATATACATACTATTCCAAATGAAAATGAAGCAGAATATGTACTATGCACCTGAACATGGATTCACATATATTTTACAGGATATCAGCAGAGAGGAAGTTCAAGAGGACCAGGCTGAGCAAGTCCTGAGGATCTGTGTCTTCCACACAAGTGAAGAAGATGAAGGTGCATCCGACACTGATGTGTCCATTGTTATTGAAGGGACTGAGGTACTTGACAACTATGGAAGTGTTACAAAGGCCTGTCTCCTGCTCATGAGCATCATTTATGCCATGAATTTGAGTTACCCCCAAAAAACAAAGTACACTTTGGAAGTTTTTCAAAAGCTTCTTCTAGAGCTTGATGTCCTTAAGCTGTCCCCGAAAATCCTGTCTCTGCGAAACAAACTTGAGTCTGAGTGCACATGTATACGGCACAGTTGTCAATGTGGCTATTTGTCTATTTTCTTATTTTTCTCTCGTTTTAATGATGTCATTTTTATTTGAACTTGTTGCACTGTATTAAATACTGTATGTGGCCATGTGGAGTGGCTACGTTTTGGGGACAAAAGAAAAGAAGTTAGATCAGCATTTTCAAGTTAAACCCGAGGTTCTCAACTGGTGGCTCGTGGGGCCATTTTTAATGGGTCACGGATGTGAGTGTGGGCATGAAAAGAGCGAGGGGCCAAATATCGCACTTTTTAGTGTCAAGATGCTCTGCTTTTTGTAGGATATTACTCATGATACAGAAACAGACGTTTAGAACCTCAGAGCAAAACACTGTTCTTTAAGATAGAAAGGAATAGTAAGCATGTCTTTTAAGATGCACCAGCATGTCAAATGTTTTCCAGAGTTTAAGGTTAAAAAGCCTCTCCAAACGATAGGCTACGTATGCTCTATGCAAACAGTTCCTGAACTTGTCCTTGTGCCTTTAACAAGCTACCTCAAACCCATTTTAGCCACCCTAAGATGAAATTTCTGTCATCGTCTACTCACCCCGATGCCGATAGAAGGACTCATCATGCTCTTCTGGGAGTTTGCCGAGATGTTTGTTTCTCACAAAACTGCATTGAACGGCAACTTGGCTTCAAACATCCAAAAAATGTCTCCATATTGCTCATCTGAAGTAATCCAAGTGTCCTGCAGCTTACACATTCCTAGATGTTTTGAAAAACAGAACAAAATTGTGTTTTGGCTTTGTTTGCTCTGCTTTGCTTCCACTGTGGTGCTGCGTGAACACGGATGGGCTAGCTGGAAGTTAGTAGTGTGTAAGTTTGTGTGCGGCGTTGGAAGGAGCACGCATTGGAAGAGCAGCAGAGCAAACACAGCTGAAAACACAAGTTTGTTATGTTTTGTACAAACGTCTTGGCATGTGTGAGCTACAGGACACTTGGATTACCTCAGACAAGCAGTATGGAGACATTTTATTGATTATTGATGTATTTTTGGACTTTTGATGCTAAGATACCGCTCACTGCAGTTGAGTGGAAAAAAGGTCTCTCAAACTCGCAGAAGAACACGGATGTTAACAAAACTTCACCAATCCTTCTATTGACAAAGGGGTGAGTAAATAATAACAAAAAAATCATCTTAGGGTGAACTATACCTTGTTGTTGTTTTTGCCATGCAAACTTGCTGGAAAATGTTTTATTAAAAAAAATATTTTTTCACTTAAGAAAAATAAATGGGTTGTTAAATTAAACATTTTTTTTTTAAAGTCATTGTTTCAATAAACAAAAACATTAAGAACAAATTTAGGCAATTTAAACTGCAGAAAAATGATGTAAAATGTTGTGTAAATGTTACTTAAATATAGTCCATAAATAAAAGTTAGACAAAGTATTTAAAAATGACCTTGAAAAGCCATTGGTTTTAGGTGAGATTGTTCAGTTTGAAGCAGTCAGAGTTGAAGTAAAACGTACAAAGAATGAGAGAGTAAAATTCAATAACCATATTAATAACCATCAGTAAATTACCTGAGGTTTGCTAGTAAAAGAGACTTATATCTGCGAGTAAAGTTTACTTGAAGATTGCCCTTGTAGAATTTACTTACAATTTCTAAGTGCAAAAACTTTCCTAGGTTTTTCCAAGAAAATATCACTCCACATTTTTTTCAGTGTAGAGGTTATCACTGCTCATGATGGCTTTTGTTTAGCTGATCTGACATTTCTCTGCTCTCTAAATATATATATATATATATATATATTATATTTGTGTTGATGTATTTGTATGTTGTTGTTTCTCTTTCACTGCATAGATCCTTAAATTTAAAGCAGCAGACCTTCCTTTATTGTAGATAGTTTGTTCTTATCACTTTGTACATTTCTAAAGAAATCTGTAATTACATTTATTACATTATTTTAACATTACAATTTGCTAGAGGACATTTGTAGTTGTTGTCTATGTACAAATGAGGAAATGTGAGGTGTTACACAAATGGAATCAACATGATCATAATCAATAAAGAGATAAACAGCTGCTGTGCTCAAGAGGTTTGTATTTGATCCTCAATTTGAAACAAAGAAATGCATCTAAAAGAGTGGTGATCAGGGTTCCTGTAACTGTGATTGATTTACTGCAGCATCACAGGTAAAGTTACTCCACCTTTGTCCAGTACTGAAGTATTAAGCATCAATGACAACGTCAGATTGATTTAGTAAATCAAGCATCAAACTATTTTAAACACAGCCTCCTGTAGCTTCAGTTACTAGCTGAGTAAAAAGTAAAGCACTCTGTGTGGGTCCACATTTACATGAAGCACCGAGGGAGCTCATTGGATTAAAAAGTCTGTTTCAATTTAAAGTGTGAGCCGCTGTGAGGTGGAAGAACTGCCTTTATGAGTGGAAGTGAAGCTGTGGCTAACTGTGGGGGGGAAACTGAGACTCTTGTGAGGGTAAAGAGCAGCAGGTCGGTGACTTTGTGCTGATTTTATACTTAAATATCTCAGTGGTCCCTGAAGGCAACAGTCTCTGTGTTCATTTAGTCACAAAGCAGAATGTGATAATAAAATGTTGTCTTATAGATCAGCTGTGATTCTGATAACATGCTCTTCTACTGCTACTACCTTTACTACGACTACTGTATGACTGCACATCATTTGGAGCAAATTATTTCCTTAATTTAAGAGATGAGTTTTCCTGATACTTTTATGAACTTTTTATACAATCCTCTGTCTGTATTTAGTATTTTATTGATTTTAACTGTCAATTAATAGACTTTTGTTTAACAAATTCAGTGTTTTCTTCTCCCTGATGCCACTGTTCTATCAGCTCTTTGGGTGTTTTAACTGCGTAGACTACTTTTCTAATGCAGGACGAGGCCATTTAGCAGAGATATTTGAACCAGTAGCCTCAAATCCCCAAATAGTATTTTCAACATAAGAGTTGAATAATAATTGTAATCTCTCCTCTACAATCTTTTCCCACGTGACCTGAATGCAGCATCAGGCTGTGACTCCTGTGAGCACACTGACAAAGGAAGATACACAAGAGGGCGCCTTCATCCTGCTAACCAGGGATGTAATGGAGGTTAAAGCACCTCAACTCACTTTGTCTCCACTTTTAGTTCAGAACATGTTTTTATGACAATAAAAGATTTATAGTAAAAGTTCATTGTGTCATACATGGTGACAAACGGTGTCCAACCAGTAAAAGTGCAGATACAATCTCTGTGTGGCTTCTTTAAAAATAGATTCAGTTCTCTGTGTGAAGTTAAGGTGGCCATCAATCACAGTTCCAACATATTTCAAACTACAGTGGATCCAGTGAGCAGAGCCGGTCCTGACCTCCCTGGGGCCCGGAGCTAAATTCTGCCAGGGGGCCCTCCTTCCTGACCCGTAAACCCTGTTAACTATTTGCCACACAGTCCCTCAGTGCTCCCACTACAACTGGGTTGTTTGCTCCATCTTTCAGAGTGAGAATCAGTAGATCTATACAGAACAGAATGAGGAATAAACAAACTATATTTATTCAATAGAATATGTTCTATAGAATATTAATGGAATATTAACACTGTAGACAATATATATGTAGAATATAATACAAATATATATACTGTTTTTAATTCATCTTTAGTGTTCTCCAATGTCGGTAAATATTATTATAACACTGATCCTGGATCAGCATTTAAATGTACCTTTGAGTTTATTGTACGGTATTCTTATTATACTGCAGTGGAGAACAGAGTGACACATCTCAAACCATAGTGGACACAAAAATACTAATCTTGATCTCATGAATTAAGACTTTCTACTTCACTTGTTGAATATTGTAACTGTGTTATCTTGTGACCAGTTAAAGTCATCAGAAATCAGTATTCAGCAGCTTATTTTAAACTAAAATAAAGAATCTCCAGAGTATACCCTCTTGACGCTTTGTATTTTTCTCGGCTCACGCCTCCTTCTCACCTTTTCACCCCCTAACCAGTTTGTGTTGAGACTGAGCTCGTGAACACACATGCAGACACTCCAGGAGACAGGGACTTAATAGGAAACTGTTTTGAAAAGAGGGGGAGAGGGAGTGCAGACCTGGGGAAGCTTGGGCTGGTGGGTGTGAACCTGGGGCTGAGGGTTGGACTGGAAGCTGGAACCTGTCTGCACTCAGGCAACCACACACACATACAGTTAGAGAGAGGGAGAGAGACACTCGGGGAGTGGCAGCAGGTTAGATAGACTGAATCATCATAGTTTGTATCTCTCACTGTAACCATGGTTTGTGAACTTAATAACAACCACAATGAATCTCAAATGTGTGATATGACACAACAGAACTGCTTTGTGTAACCTGTAAAAACACATCTGACATCCTTTCATAAGATAACTCATGTATGACGACAACAAGTCAGAAATGAGGCATTTGACAGCATAAATATTAGACTTGGGCAGCTGGCTGTTGATGATAGCGTGCTGCAGATCGCTGTCAGCGTTATACACACTTCAACCAGCACACAGTAAAAGTACAGCATTGCTGACCAATGTGGTTCTTCCAGTGGAGCCGGTCTAGGAGGAACCAACTGTGTTTAAAGAATGCTGGAGCACGGTTCAGTGCAAAGCTGTGCAGTAGGGCTGAGGGAGTGCTCGGCTGACATGAGAACAGATAATTTACTTTTTAATAAGTATCAAATGTGTAAAATGTGTCTGTATTTAAGAAAATATAGCAACTTTTATTAAAAAAAACCTTGTTCTGTAAATAGTTCTGTGATTCTAGTGAGACAAAAACATTGGCCTGATCTAAATTCTGAGGATGTTCTTGAGTTTTCTTTTATTATTTTAACACGAGAAACAAAATACAGAACAACAGGACAAAGACAGAAAGAATGTGTACAGAACAGAAGAGTAAAGACAGACATTTGTCAGAAAATAAAAGAACAACGTGGGTGTTAGTGGCTCTGTGGTTTGCTGATACAGGACGGTTAGGGTTTGTGCGTGCGTTCAAACTCTCAGAGGACTCTGAGGAGGGTGGCTGTTTGTTGGGGATTGACAGTCAGAATATGTTGTGTTATTGGTTGAGAGAGGAAAGTGAGGTGACCCGGCGTACCTTCCCCGTGCTGCACGCTCAGGAAGGAACAGTCACAGCTCCTTGGATGAAACTCCACACACAAGAGATGAGGCAGTGCACCACCAAATAAAACTCTAAATGAAAGGTGAAATAGAAACTGAAAAGCTTACCATGAATGCAGAGCGGTGTACAACCAAGGAGCATCCTTTCTTCATGTCCTTGCCCTCTCTTTCCCCCTCTGCTCTGCCTCATACAGCCCTTGGACCTGCAGGGGAGGAAGGAAGAGAAAGTAGATTCCATCAGGAAGCTGGTTGGTTTCCTCCTCTCCATGCTCCTCCTCAGTGAATGGTGGACGCAGTGCTCTCATCACATCAGACACTTGTATAATATTGTCCATTGTCAGGAGGGTCTGTGCAGTGTGGTCCACCTCAGGTTTTTGGTGGAGAAAAGTAGATGCCAGATGGCCTTGGCCATCTCCAGTGTGTCCCCCCTGTCCATGCAAAGGAAAAGGGGGAAAGGACACTGAAAAAAAACAACTGGTAAGATTTACTTAATATAATCTCTGTAACAATGTTTAAGTAAATATTACTGCTGAAATATCAAGTACAACTCAGTTGCCAGTATCAAGTCAAATTTACTCACCACTCAACTAAACTTTAGTAAAAATATAAAGTAAATGTTGTTTAATTATTTCTACATTACAAGTTATATTTAGTTTAACTGAGTAAAGTCAATTATATATTTTCATATACGAGACATTGCTGTCATAAAAATATAAAGTAAATCTTATATATCAGTGATATTTACTGTGATGAAGTCAATAGGTACATTTTATTACATTTATTCTGTTTGACATTTTAAATTCCTTCTATGTCTGCAGATATATTATTCACTACAATTATGTAAATGTTATTTTGTTTTGATGAATTTGACCAAATCAATGTAATCATTTTCTCTATGCATATACTTTTACCACAAAGCAGCAACTGAAATACAATATATAATGAAATGTTTTATTTTGTTATTAACACCAATGAATCACTAACATTAACATTAAAGTTGAAATGTACAATTCAACTGTGTAACATGCATTCAAAGTGAAGCAGCAGCCAAAAATATAACATGGCATTAATGAGAAACATATTCCCATTGATATGCTCTTGCTCTGTTGAAAACGTTTGGAAAAAAATGAAATAAAAATATCATTGTAATTACAGTATACACTGCATTTCTTTAGTTTTCTCCCCAAGATACATAAAGAACAATAAAAGGCCATATCACATGACAAGAAGAAGGTGCTTTTTTAAATATTCAGTTAAAACCTTACAACAGTGCAAATTCACACTTTGAATTCTACTTTACTCTGATGATTCTGACATATGTGAGAAGCACAAGGTAACATGTATCTACTGGGTGTTGGCTGATGTTCCCTCTATGAAGGTGTACATCATCAATGTATGTAGTTGTTTTGTATAAGGCAGATGATGTTAAGAAATGGAGTTATCCTTGAGTGAGAGGATTTGTGCTGTGTGTGCATTCATATTGGGAAGAGTGCGTGTGGTAAAAAAAGGGAGACAGAGCAGAGAAAAAGCACAATTTTTACCAAACACACCTGACTCAGTTTGTCCAAGAATGGCCTCAGCTTGGTCCCCACGACTCCTCCCTTGGCCTTCATCAGACCGTTTCCCAGTGGCGGCGGGCCAATAGAGGGCGCCGCCCCCCTTGAGCCACAAAAATAAAAAATAAATAAAAATTAAAATAAATAAAAAAATTAAAAATAATAATAATAATGATAAAAATATCAGTATGTCAATAGTTGTGTGTTTGAAATATGGAATGCAGCCAGTAATATGTGTAAAATATCCTCTGCCTGTCTGAAGCCTCATCAGCTCTGGCCGATAGAGAAAGCGCCCCAGGAGGCGGGTCTATGTAGCAGTTAAGCCAATTGCTAATTTAAGATATGAATGTATGACATTAAATTCA